AAGGGGCAGAGAAAATGGGCTGGAGTCCTGTCTAGATCCAGTTCATGCTTTCCGTTTTTCTGATACTGTGACATATTTGGATTTCTGTATCACTCATCTCTACTATCAAGATGTCCCACCCACCACCATGCTTTCTTATCTGTGATCACTAATATTCTGTGATCCTCACTAACCTCCTCCCTAAAGTTGTCAAGAACTGCCTCATAGCCACTGGAAAAGTAATCGATACACCTGGAAACTACAAAGCATTCTGAAATGCAAGATCAGCATATGTTAATTGATCAAACAACTTAATCATTCATCTTTTAATTTACCCACTTTACTCGCCATTAATGTCTTTCCTATCTCTTTCTATTTTGTTAGGTCTTGAACTTTTGTGGAATTCTTTTCTCCCTTCCATATTAGACGTTATTCTAAAAGTAACTATTATCATGGCACATGCAAATAGAAGAAATGCATAAATCTTGCTGAATTTACATATTTAGATATAACAAATACAACAGATGCAAAAAATAGGAGAGGAAGATGCAGAAGGCTAGCTACTTTTGCCTCATGACTGCATTTGGGCTCTGCAGTCATCTGTCTACAGACTATGGAAAGCTGCACATGCAGGTGTTTTATACCATGCCTGACTAGAGTGAAACATATGGATGTCTTTAGGTAAGATATAAGTATATATAAAGTTATATATATATATATATATATATATATATATATATGTATTAAGGTATATATATATATATATTAAGGTATATATATACATATGTGTGTATGTGTGTATGTGTGTGTGTGTAAGAGTAAATGTGTAAGAGTATATGTGTATATGTGTTTTGCCTAAATAGAATAAGTAACTCAATGACTCAATGTTTTATTTGAGAAATTGTGGTAAGACATAATGTCTAAACTCATCACATATTTGTGGATAATTCTTTTTACATAAAGAAAATATGATAATAATGTGTGATGATTATGGAGGTCAGAATTAACTTTCTATTCAATGGTTATCAATTTTCTTACAGAATTATTCCTGGAATTTTATATACATTATCTTTTTTTCTCTCTCCTAAAAAGACATGATGGTTTTAAGAATGTGTACTCCTTGCCCTCTAGAACTTATAATGATCTAGAAAAGGACAGTTTGATAAGGGACAAAATTCCAGAGTTTATGAGAAAGCTATAAGCACACTCCAACACTATAAGTCACATTTGCTTATAGTTGACATGTGGACATCCATCAAAGAGTTAGTGGCTATGCATTTTCAGTTAAAATGTAGACAATAAATGTATCTATTCCTCAATTCCCAGGAGTCTAACATAATAAACGGTGGGTATTCTGAGCACTAGAAAGGGGCCAACTGAGTATAGAATACCTGGCAGGAGTAAGGATTATAGGACAATCCCAAGGAGAAACACTGTGAAAGCTTAAATAAAATTAACTTCAGTTCTGTGGTTATTTTTCAGTTCTTTGTTTATTGTAAAAACTACAATATAAATTCATAACCACATAAATCTGGTAGGAAAAACCTCATGTTAAAGATGTCTCCTAATTCTAAAAATAGAGGAAGTATTTAACTTATATCAATGTGATATATGAAAGTATTCAACACAATAACTTGTTTGGTAAGCATTCCATGTTGCTCATATAGTGAGAAATCCAGATTGATTTTTATTATGGATTACTCTCTTTCTTGTGTGAAGAAGAGTATACTGTATAAATGCCTGCTATTTGTTGCCTAAATGATTGAATTATTAAATACTTTTTCAAGTTCCTTTGATACCTTTTTTTGGTTTTTTTGGAGAATGGGTATTTGTACCAGGTATCCTGAATATTCAAGAGAATGATAAAGTTCTTGCCAGTCAAAAGTCTTCACCACAAACTACAGGGGACAGACATGGATTTTTAAATATGTGTTCATATGGGTGTGCAGGCACATGGATGTATGCAGGTATAAATAATTGTGCACATAGATGTGGAAATTAGAACTCACCAATTAGGAAAGGCTGTCTAGCTAATGAGCCTCAAGGCTCTTTCTGTCCCTGCCTTCACAGAATTGGAATAACAAGCTTGTACCACTATACTGGATGCTTATGTGGCTGTTGGGAATAGAACTGAGGTCTTTGTTCTTGCAAAGCAAGCTCCTTACTGACTGAATCTTGTCTCCACCCTAGATTGCCTGAGGAATGTCTTTTGTCCAATATTTCTTTGGTATCCACTGAAAGATATCCAACTTTATCTAATTTCAGGATTTGTGGGATTTACAAAGTTCTTTGGAGTTCTACAGAAAAGAACTTTGCCTTCCATGATTGTGTGTGAATATGGAGTTCAGTCCTGACCTTTCAGCAGTTGGGCAAATGACTCTTAGGATAATTTCCGAGATAGTAATTATGGTCATGAAAATGAAGCCCTGGTAAGAAGCATCAGCCAAACATCTTAGGTGGAAATCACACACACACACACACAAATAACAGTTTACACAATCTAGGACTTTGTTAGAGGATATCAGAATGCTGGTGTTCGTCTCAGAAGCCCAAAGAATAGGCACTGGAATCTCACATCACATTTGTATATTAATTCAAAAGTTAGTGACCCGTGGCCTTATTTGTTTGTTTGGTTTGGTTTTTCAAAACAGGGTTTCTCTGTATAATAGCCCTGGCAGTCCTAGACTCACTTTATAGCTTTGTAGTCCAGGCTGGTACTGAATTCATAAAGATTCACCCATCTTTGCTTCCTAAGTGCTGGGATTAAAAGTGTGGACTAGCATACCCAGCGACACTTGACATTTCTTTCTAGAATCTTCACCACTGTCATCTCTTCAAGTCATTTACTCTTTGGCAATTGTTTCCAGACAATGGATCCCTATTGATACTTGATTCATTATGTTGACTTATTTCTGTGAAAAGGTGGAAGGAATTTCTAACTTATACCCTAGAGAAGTGGGACACAACATAAGGATTACTTTGAATAACGGTAAGAGACCTCAGTAGATGGTGGCTGCATCTATGAGAAAAGAATATTGATAAGACAGGTGATCTTACCCATTTTTCCCCACCTGAGATAATTCAAGGTTTCAGCCCTCTACTCCACAACAAAGATAACATTAATATTTAGAGGGTCTTCTTTATGAATCTCTGACATGCTCCAAAATAAACTGGAGTCACAATTACATGAGGGCAGATATTTATCAATTCTTCTAATGCTTTGTTTTGTTAAAAGAAAGTCATTATGGTTTTGATTGGTCCATAAGTCTCACTGTAATTTTGTGATAATGTATCTCTCCATTATTTTTTAATCATAGTCCATACAATATTGTTATCACTGGTATCAGATATGAATCCCATAGGGATGGAACCATTACAAAATCTATGTGACTTTGTCCCACAGTTATACTTTCATCTTCTATGGTAGTTTGGATGAGAATGGCACCCACAGGCTCATATAGTTGAATACTTGGTCCCTGGTTAGTGGAACTGTTTCAGAAAGAATAGGAGATGTGGCCTTGTTGGAAGAGGTGTGTCACTGGCAGTGGGCATTGACGTTTCAAAAGCCCACACCATTCCCAGATAGTCTTCTCTCTTTCTTTTTCTGCCTTCTGCTTTTGGATTAGATGTACACCTTTACTGACTGCTCTATCAACATGCTTGCCTGCTGCCATTACCCTTGCCAGACTCTGTGTCATGATGGCCATGGACTCTAATGCTCCCAAATAAAATGCTCTCTTTTATAAGTTACCTAGGTCATGGTATTTTGTCATGACAGGAGAACAATAACTAAGATATTGTCTTTGCACACATTATCATTGGATTTATTACAGCATTAAATGGTTTCCATATTTTCTTAAATGCTGTTTTTGGTGAAAGCTTCCTCATCTCTCCTGAAAATAGAATCTTGACTGACTCGTCCCAGATTTTCCAGACTGCTCAAGACGTTTCTGAATTCCTCTTTAGAGACGAGCTTGATGTTTGTATTGTATATATACTTTAACTTTAGAGAAATCTCTTTTGCTGGTTATTGAATCCTAGATTTATATGTTATTCTTTCCTATAAATAAAGATTTTTTTTACTCATTCACTAATCTATTCAATTATTTTATGTTGAAAATAAAAAAAGAAATGATCTAGTTTAATGTACCACTTTCAATTGGCTTGCAATTGTCTTTCTTATTACAGTTTTTTTTCCCCTTAGGAAGCTTTCTGGAGTTTCTTTGAATCATACATTTTTAGCAATTTAAATATAATATAAAATGACATTATTTTCTTCACAAATTTTTTATAGGGTCTACACTGTTCTTTCAAAATTTTAAATAATTCAAAGGCATTTTTGAACATATAAAATAGTAGAGTTCATTGCCAAACTGGCATATACTTACCTTATGAGATGGTAAATACTTAAACATCTTTTTTAAACTAGGAAACAGGCCTAAGTTTACAACAGGTCCTGATTTCCATAGGGGACATGTTGCAGTAATGTCTGATTTCATGGAACCAACCAACCATTCACCCCAGAAGATAGAAAATGGAAGAAATACATGCGATGGACTCTTGTAGACCTGTGTGAGCTAGCTATATAGTATATAGACTCTCAGACTGCATGAAAACCTAATCAATCTCTATTCTAGTTAAGTATTTTTTTCAGTGTTAGGGATTGAACTATACTTACTAAGTCTTCTACTACTGAATTACATATTTAACCAAACTATATGCTATCTTAAAGAAAACCACTTTGATATAAAGTTTTTATATTTGAAAAAATGTGTAATCTTATTTTTTTCAAATTAACAGACAGCAGTAAATAGTTCAGCTAAGCATTGAGTTGAAGGGATACAAAGACTAGACTACATGATCATTAAATTTAAGAATAAATTGATGGACCATCCTCCTAACTGCCTAGAAGACAGTCTTCTGTTTGCCTTTGGAATGAGATACAGTACTCAGCTCCTCCAGCCATCATGCCAGCCTGAACACTGCCATTCACACCATTGTGATAATGGACTGAACTTCAGAACCTGGTAACCCAAGTCTGTTAGTGGAACCATGAAAGTTTTGTTGGTGTTTGACTTTGACAATACAATCATAGATGACAACAGTGACACCTGGATTGTACAGTGTGCTCCAGACAAAAAGCTTCCCATTGAGCTACAAGATTCTTACCAAAAGGGGCTTTGGACAGAATTTATGGGCAGAGTCTTTAAGTATTTGAAAGATGAGGGGGTAAAAGAAGATGAACTGAAGAGGGCAGTGACGTCACTGCCCTCCACCTCAGGGATGATAGAACTTCTCAGCTTCCTGAGGATGAACAAGGACAGGTTTGACTGCATCATCATTTCGGATTCAAATTCCATCTTCATAGATTGGGTTTTAGAAACTGCTGCTTTTCATGATGTCTTTGATAATGTGTTTACCAATCCACCATCTTTTGACAGCAATGGTTTTCTCACAGTGAAAAACTGTCATAGTCATTCTTGCACTAGGTGCCCAAAGAATCTTTGCAAAAATATAGTTTTGGGAGAATTTATAGATAAACAGTTACAAAAGGGAGTGAGATATACACAGATTGTTTATATAGGCGATGGTGGAAATGATGTCTGTCCAGTAACTTTTTTAAAGAAAAATGATGTTGCCATGCCACGGGAAGGATATACTTTACATAGAACTCTTGCCAAAATGTCTCAAAACCTTGAGCCTATGGAATCGTCTGTTGTAGTTTGGTCTTCAGGTGTTGAAATAATTTCTCATTTACAACGTCTAATGAAGATGTGATGTGCCAACCATTGAAATGTGTATTAGTTAAGGTTGGGCTCAGCAACATAAAACTCAATTCCCAGTATTAGTACCTTTAAGTGAGAGGTTTTCTTCTTAAAGAATTCTGGTGGTATGTCAAGGCCACTAGGTTGCTCAGCCACCCTCAGCTTTTGGCCCTAACCCATGGTTTGAGATTGATATTGAAGCTCCAATTCTCACAACAAACAGTATGGCCAGAAAGAACCAGGGTAGTAGTTTACCCTTTGTTCAAGAATATTTTCCAATTGTACCAAACAGTTCCTTTTGAATACCACTAGCCAAAACCTAGTCAGAGCCTTCCCCAACTGCAAAGACAGGAAATGTAGCTTTCATTTCAGGTGGTCATGTCCCTGGGAAAAAGTGGAAAAACAATATATAATTAAAGTATGTGGAACTCATAGTCTATACTAAGGATGGTTAATAATAGATTCTGTTTTTTTTTAATTTCTGAAGAAAGTAGCTTTATTTTACTCTTATTTTAAAAATAGACAGTTTAAAAATGTTTAATTTAAAATGTCTTATTTAAAAATGTTGAAAGTAGCTGATGAGCTGTCTTCCCCTGCTGTCAGCAAGTCATACAGACACTCAAGTGTGTCCAAGATTCAGCTTCCCCAATACCTGCTACTATGGCCAAGGCAGGTGTTATTGCTGGAGGTAAAATGAATGCTAATACTGCCTAACAGGAGCACTGAAGACTGCCGTCATCCAAGAGGGCCCAGCATGAGGATCATGCAAAGCCTCCAAAGCCTTAGGCAAGTCCGTGCTTGAACCCAATTGTGATGAGCCTTTGTGTGTCAAGTTGGTGGAGGAGCTTGGTGCTGAGCATGAAGATCAAATTAGGCATCTGTGAAAGCAAGAGAGGGGACCTATAAACCTGGCTGTGGTATGTTAAGGATGCTAATTGAAGACTACTTCAAATGCAAGAAATAAAACTAGCTTGATTTTCGTTTCCCAACAACGAAAGCCCGATACTTTATTCACATAAGAATAAAAGCTCTCAAATGTAAAAAAAAAAAAAAAGAAAAAATTGATTATATTCTATGAGGTGAAACTGGAATCAGAATATATGGGTAGGGACTACCAGTTCTACATTTTAATAGCTAACTAAAATTCTCTATGCTATATCTCTAGGAGACTCAGTTAAAAAGTAAATCTATCCAACAGTAGCTTTTTAAGGACAATCACAGAGTGGATATCAGTGTTATGTGATAAATGCTTTAAATGTGTGTAAGGCTTAGCATTCTCCCAGACTTTTAATATACCCTCAGGGAGAAACATGAGGTTCTTGTTAATCTGTATCTATATTTTTAGCAAGTTCTCCAGAGATGCCAATGAGTAACTCTTTGGTCCACAGCATGCATGGCAGTAGAAGATTTTGAACTGGGTCATTCCTTTATCCTTTTCAATGTAGAACTGCTGGCTACATCAATAAGTGAATAGACAAAGGAACTAATGAATAGTAGTTCACACCAGAAAGCTATATATGACGTTTTCTACACTCTCAGACTCATCCTCTCTCTTACTTTGACACAGCTGCTATATAAGTATAACATAACTTATTAAGCTGGAAAGTTCCATAAAATTTATCTAAGACCATGGATACAATAAATATGAACTGACTCAGAATGATCACAGGCTCTTGAGTTTTTTTTTAATGAATGTAATCAGGTTAATCTAGATGGAAAACCTTTCTATTAAATATAAATCAATCATCCTCAGTGATAAACTGATCATCATTCACCTCTGACCATGAAGAAAACTGTTTTTCACACTGACACTCAATGTCACAGTTATAGGCTGGTCTCATGTCATGAAGTTTATGGAATATTTATAAGGTGTATTTTAGGGTGACTGACACAAAGTTTTCACTTTATGGTTTTTTTTTTTTATTCTTGGATTACAACTCACTTTAACATGGGCTAGATCCTTTTGGATGTCCTGCACTCATTGGTTAAATGAATCTGTCTATTCTACTCAGTTCTGCAGTGGTATAACTGTTCTATTTCTGAAGTCCTTTCTACATGCAATGTTTTATGATTCTCTATTTCATTCAGAATTTACATTTAATTGTTCTCTTCCTTAAAATGTTTGCCATTTATCTAGCCCCTAGGTTTGGCTTTATGGGATCTTGCCATTTCTCTTCAATTGATGGATTATAATTGGCACTCTGTCACTATGGTGATTTTAGACATTTTCTTTCCAAGTGAATGCATAGACTCCATAAGGATTATATTGTAGAAGGTCATATTTTGTTGTCTATGTGACTGCATATAATAGAACTGCTTAGATTGTTCAGTATTGCCTTGGTCAGGGTGGCTGGTATTGAATTGTTTGAAAAAAATCAATGAAATCTGTGTTATTGAAAAGAGAGAACTGCATTAGATTTACTGGTTCACAAAACTGGAAAGTAGGTCAGTGCCCAACATTCCTGTAATTGCTGCTGGCTCATTTTCAAATTCAGTGACTGCCCCTGAGGACCAGAAAACCATCTATTGCATTGGGGTCAGGGAGGCTGCATCCCTGAGAGACCAGGTCAGCCCAGTCTAGCCCTCTAGGTCTAGACAAAACCCATCTTTGTAACTTTTATCCAGGGTTCTAGAAAACTTTCTCTACTACAGCATATGGTTTGTTTTAGTTTTAGTATGTCAGTAATGTTTCCTCTAATTATTTTTCCATTACTTTTTTTTTTGCCTTTTACAAAAAAGATTTTACCCTGTTCTTCCCCTGAGATTGCTCAAGGACTCTATGTTATTTCATTTTTAAAATGATGTGTTTCAAAAGATGGGCAGAATTAAATCGTGGCAGAAATCAGGGACTAATTAAGCAAGAGTGGGTCACAGTCTAATTTTCCTGTCCTTAGTAAAAATGAAGGTCTTTTTAATTATAAGATTTAAGTTAATGGGCTACATTTTTAGTGTATTAATAATGAGCATCACTATCTCACATACCGGTTACAAGTGAGACATTTGCAAACCTCTGAGGCAAGCCATTGGTTATGTCAAAAGGAAGGAGGAGAGAAAGCAGAATGGCATATCACAGGTAGAACTGGCACAGGGATGGTTAAACTATCTGTTATAGTGCATAACTCTTGTGTTCTTCAGTGGAGAGATAAATGTATATTTAACCAGAGCCAAACCTTGTTGGATTCTAGACTTCCTATTGCACTCTCCCCTTTCATTGACCTTCTCAATAGCTTTCCTTCCTTTTTCTGTTCATTGCCATTCTCTTATTTACCTGTTTGCCCATGAGCTTAACCCATGAGACCTCACTCAGAAATTTAAGTGGTAATGTTGCCAAGGCAACACTCCGATCTGTTGCTTCTCTGAAAGATTAAACAGCCTTTCTGGGAGAAGAACCATTACTCTCAGGAGCAAATACCAAGAAACCTGGCAGGGAGCAAGAACAAATAATTTGAATTGGTAGCTTATATAAGTGTTGTAGCATCACCATATTGCAAGTAATCATGAATTGCAACACCCTGACAAATGGTCTTTGGAGTATAGTATCCATCTTACACCATTAAATGTATTTGCTAGAAAATAAAGTGGAGAAGGACTTTATTGGACTTTATTTTGTCTGGAGGGATCTTGTGAGTTTTACAAAGTGCTGTCATATACATTCCATTCTTTAAAAGATTCCTGATATATTTATATGTCAGAAAAATGAGATGTAAATATACGCGTTAAACTTTGAACTAAATATGAAAGACCCAGGTGTCTATCAACTTAATAGATAGTGGAGGGGGCTAAAACCAAGTATCCTGGTGGATCATTCATGCATCATGTGTGTGTGTATGTGTGTATCTGTATGTGTGTGTATGTGTGTATGTGTGTGTGTGTATGTGTGTGTGTATGTGTGTGTCTGTGTATGTGTGTGTGTGTCTGTGTATGTGTGTGTGTGTCTGTGTATGTGTGTGTATGTGTGTGTGTAGGTGTGTGTGTGTATGTGTGTGTGTAGGTGTGTGTATGTGTGTGTGTAGGTGTATGTGTGTGTGTATGTGTGTGTGTGTGTGTGTAGGTGTGTGTGTGTGAGAGAGAGAGAGACAGAGACAGAGAGACAGAGACAGAGAGAATGAACTGTGATTGTCCTTAGTACTCTTTTGACTATTCATAGTAGAGAGTTCCATCTTGGAGCAAGTCTACTTAAAGCCATGAAACTTATCCTTGCTCCCACACCCAGAAAAGAAACATATATTTCTTTTTGGTTGCTTAATCTATGTCCCTAGAAAGAAAACAAGGGGGGAAATTCGTATCTGTTAATATTTTTTTCTGGCTGTGAAATCTGAAAAAATTGAGGGTAAAAAACAAAGTAACAAAGCTGAAAAGGAAGGTATGTTTAGTGATGTGTCTTCCAGATCTCACGTCAGAAGTGATAAGGCCACTCTCTTAGGTATAGGAGCAACTGGAGGTAATCCTGAGATGGGGGCATTTTTCAGGTATCTCCTTGGGTGAAGGCAGAGATGCTTTAGCTAGTAACACAGCCTTCTTGGAACTATCTACAAACAGACTCAACAGAAGAGCAGTACAATGGCCAGGACTCCTTGTTTTAGTCAAAGCAACTTCGAAGGGTCAGGAAAATTTGAGTCACCATGGAGCTAGCTGAAGTCTCAATTGTTGAGCATCCTAGCATCCTTTCTTTACCTAACCCACTGTCCCTACAACCATCCTTATTCAAGATCATGCCTAAACATCCTTCATGTTGGTCACCGTCTCAATCTGCTTCCTCAGGATTTCAGTTCAGAGAACTATATATTACATTTCATACCATGGCTAAGTTATTTCTCCTGACTTTTGTCATAAGTCAAAAGAAAAATAGGTCATTCGGGTCATTTGAACCTCTCAACACAGTATTACTCTGAGTATATTCTCCAGCAGAGACTTCAACGGGCCTCATGCATTGCTCTTTGAGGCTAGCACTTTCTGGATTATATTTGTCAATAGTCCTATACCATTTCTAGTACTTTTTACAGTAAAATGGGT